ACCTCGTCATTAAGAGAAGTAAGAAGTTCCTGGTTTGAAGTGAAGACGAACTGAAGCAGCATTAAACCATCAGAGCTCTGAGATGAAACACACTTTGCTCTGCTTCATCTTCCTCAGTGAGTAAATTCTCTTCTTATTTCTGTCACTTTCTCTCTTCTAACTTTTATTTATCTCCATTTTATTTTCATTTATAATTCGTTTTGCGACTCACTTCTTCATTTCTTTGTTCTCTCTCATAATTATTGGTTTCTGTGGTTAAACATAGTGTGAAGTTTGGATATGAGTGGAATTTAAATGTTTCGACAAAATTTTTTTTGCACTTTGCAAATTATTTTTAGTTTCCCAACAGTTTGATCCCCAGAAATTTCTACTTTTTTCTTGTACATGGAATCTATAATCAAATACTTTTCGTCTACTCTTCTATGAGAGACAAACTTATAATTGTAGAGCTGATGAAACAAACACTCCGTGTTTCATTTCTTCTTTTAATGAGCTGAAGAGCAACAAAGTGAGAACTGGATGTTTAGCAGCGCGACTAAAATGTTCATTTCACATACAAATATGGAAATAGCTACTGCTGCTGCTGATGTCATCAAAGATTTTAAAAAAAAAAAGTCAAATTTCATTTTTGTATCTTTTTCACAACCTTAAACTCAGAATCTTCCACATCAGATGCTTTGTGTTCGTGTATAAAACAGGAAGTTTGCTGTTTGCAACTAAAAACAGAAAAATGAAGTTAACTGAACTTCTGTGATCAGTTCAAATTAATAATCATCTGTCACATTTAATCTATAGTAAGATTGTAACTAATGATTGTTCATCCTTTCAGCAGCACTTCAGGATGGAAACACTGGTTTGGTCAAAGCACAAACTCTCACCCACAGAGCAGAGGAAGGAGGAAGCATCACAGTTAAATGCAGGTTTTATTTGTCTGGAAGCAGGAAACTCTTCTGTAAGGAAAAATGTGAAAATGGAAACATTCTTGTTGAAACATCTGATGATGCAGCTCAGAACGGCAGATACAGCATTAAATATGTAAAAACATATATTACCTATTATCCTACTCTGTATGTGAGCATCACACAGCTGAAACAGTCTGACTCAGGACGGTACAGGTGCTCTTTGGAAAGAGTCTTGTTGACAGATGGAAACTCTGATTTTGAGCTGATTGTCACAGAAGGTGAGTTTCTGCTAACAGTCGTGTTTGTCTTTGAAGGTGTGACAGAAGCTTCACGTCTCAAAAGCAGCTACTTTTCCTTCAAATCACCTACAGATGTTATATTTATCTGAAACATCAAGTTTCATCAGTTCTGCTGTCAAACAGCCCATAACCACGTCAGTCACATGCAGATATATAAACTGCTTCAAGTGGTCTTATTATGACTCTGATGGTTTCATTGTTCACAGCTTCAACCACTTCAACACCAAACGGGACTCTGAGACCTTTTTCAGCTTCAGTGTTTCTCTCATCAGCCTCCACACCACCAACAGCACAGAGTTTAAGCTCAACTTCAGGAAGCTCCACACCTTCATCAGCCTCCTCTGGAAGTTCAGGTACGTTATAGATTTTTATATGTATGCAGATTTATATGTGATCCATTAATGAGTGAACTATCTAGTAGTGACACACTGTGAGATGTGGAAGAAGAACATTTCTAAAATGTAAACTTCTTTCCTCTGTGTTGATGTACATGTAGAATGACAATAAATGGCTACTCTATTCTGAGTAAAAGATAAAAATGTGTTGAAACGAATTAAAGTAGAAAAATATTGGCATGATAGTAGAATTAAAGTCAAAACTGTCAAATGAATGTAACACGTGTTTGACTGAAAACTGATCATTGCAGTGACTTCAGTAAAAAGCACAACAGCTAAAGAAATAAGTTTCCACCACAGCAGGTCAGCAGCTGAGAGAGGACATGGCTGACTTCCTCACAGCAGCACTGCATGAGATCTGTGCTAGATGACAGATATAGACTGTGATTAGTTGCTGTTTGGTTTCAGAGCGTTTTCACAAGTGTCAGTGTAACAGGCACAGACAGAGGAAAGCATTGTGGGAGCTGTAGTTGTTACTGAGTGAAGCAGAATAGGGAGCTGCTCACATTTTAGCAGAAAGTACAATAGCAGGTAGTCAATACAGAAAACCTGGTTAAAGTATAAATACTTTCTGTGCTACTTCATTAAATAATTTCATGCAGAAGGAAATTGATTTTTTTCTGATTTGTTTTTCTGTCATGATTGATAAGCAGTTTGTCACATAAATGCCTGAGTAACTGTGTTCAGTCCAAAAACACATGTTATTCTGTATGTTTACTGCTAAATGAACCGGCTTTGATCCACATGTTTACACTGCGAGTAAAAACCCCTCCTCTGTTAAACTCCTGCAGATGTGCTGATTTATGTGCGTCTTATTGTGGTCATTATCATCAGCGCCTTTTTAGCAACTTCGTTGATTTTCTACATGATGAAGAGGACAGCTAAACCCAGAGGTGAGGCTACAGGAAACGCACACGATGGTGTTTTTAACTCTTTAGTTGCCCTGGGTGTCCTGCTGTCTCTTCTGCCTCAGGTGCCACATTTTTTTGTACAGCTGACTCCCATCAGCAATTACAAGGCAGAGAAAGGTGAGCTCTGGTGCCAGAGAGCCATGTTGGTGGGTGCAGCTAGTGAGCTGTGTTTGGTGATTGTTTGCTCCTGCTCGGTGGAGAGGAGTGTTTGGTGACTAATCCTTTTTTTTTTTACTCTACTTTTTCAGTTCACTGACTTATGCCTCGGTTTTGGTTTGCTTCTTTAAATGGTGAGAGTGGCTTAACAGTGTCTTTTAGTTCAGTTACTAACAGAAGCATTAATAAAACTCTTTAGTTTAACCATTTTGCCTCCCTGTCTCCTTTTTTCGACCCAGACACTTTTTATCACTTTCCCTCATCCCCTGGACCTTTTTAGGGAAATATAACAAAGAGTCGTCCCATGAAACCCTTTAAAAACTTAAACACAGTAAAATTTAGAACTACATGTCATAGGGAACTGGTTTCTGTCCAGAAAATATTAATGTCCTGACGACATAAGTAACACAAGGAAAATGACAATTAAAAGCCTGAAATGAGCTTCCAACTGTGGCTCAAATATTCTCAAATTCAGTCTGTCAGAACTTCTAAAATGATGCAGTTTGTTTACTGGGAAAATAAAAAATTTCGTCACATTATGAACACAAAATTCAAATAGAACACATAAATTACACCAAATGTTTAAACTGAGAACATGTACCATTTTCAGAAAACTATTAGCTCATTCTGCACCATGTAGCGTCCCCTCATCTTTTAACAACAGTCTGGAAACATCTGGAGACCGAGGGGACTGAGGAGACTAGCTGTTAGGAATGTCGTCCTGTTCTTGTCTGTTAGAGGTTTCGAGCTGCTCAGCAGTCCTGACTCTTCTCTGTCATGTTTTTGGTTTAATGATGCTCCAAATATTTTGAGCTAGTCAAAGGTCTGGACTGCAGGCCGTGAAGCCAGGCTGGTGTAGTAGATACAGAATGCAGTTTAATATGGTGTTGATGAAATATACCTATAAGACCTTCCCTTAAAAGACGTCTGGATGGGAGTACACCTTCCAGCATTGATGGCGCCTTTTTTCAGGTGTTTAAGCTTCCAATTCCACAGATACTGATGCACCCCCGTACCATCAGAGATGAAGGCTTTTGACCTGAGCACTGATAATAAACGGAACAGTCTTTCTCTTTAGTCCAGCAGATGCAACATCCAAGAGAATTTCAGCTTTTAATTGATGTCACTACAGAACACTTTTCCACTTTGCTTCAGTCAATGAAAATTGATCTTTAGCTGAGAGAAGACTCCTTTACTTCTTTGAAACTTCACCTCTTTAAGATGCTCTTTTTATACCGAGTTACTGACCTGTTACGAAAGAGTTATTCTTCCAGCTGTTTGGGTTTAGCAATGCTTATTGTTCCAGCCTCCTGTTGCCCCCATGCAAACTTTTGTGAGGCATTTTTTCTGACATCAAATTCAAAATGAGCTACTGTGTTTCATGACATTATAAAAAAAATCCTCATTTGTTTGATTTTTTTTTCTAATGAATAAAATATCAGTTTAAGAGGTTTGGGAATCATTGCATTGTTTTTATTTATATTTAACACATGACCAACATTCTTGATATTATTTTTGAAAACTAAATTGAAAATAACATTTAAAACAGAGTCTATCCAGTCTAATCAGTCTACCCTTCCCTCTTTGTCCACACCATCAGTTCTTCATTTGGGAATAAGAACAATGACTGGTTAAAAGAAATTGTCATTATTGATAGGCAGGCTCCTTTTTCTTTAGTATTAATCCCTCGTTGGTCCTCTTTGCCTGATCCATTCAGATCTACAGATGTAGTTCCACTGGTTAAAGACTGATGTTTATCTTCTGATCTGCATGTTTTCCAGGACCTCCTGTGGAGTCTGAGCGTGCTGACATCACACAGGTGAGTTTTAGGAACTGTGACACCTGAGTTTCATCACAGCTTGAGTTGTATCAATCAGCTGCTTTGTTCCTTCTGCAGGGCAACAACGTATATATAGAGATCAGAGAGGTGGACAGACAGAGCAGTTCACCTCCTGCAGAAGTGTCCTCAACAGATGCTGCACCAAAAACCTCCAACCAGATGGAGATGAAAACAATAGACCTCTACAGCCTCTCCACCTCTCCTCACAACAAAGTAAGTAAAACTGTGGTCTGATTTTAAGCTCGGAGGTCAGAAACTAGGATCTAGATCACAGTTTGTGCATTAAAGTAATTTAGCATTGATAGGTATTTTATACGATTGACAGTATTAATGCTTAAAAATGCTGCTTTTTAGTTTTTTGTTTGTTTTTTTGCATTTAACAGAAATTGCATTTTTTGTGGTTCATTCTTGTTTTATTAACAAGCTGATAGCAAATGTTTTTTAAGATTTCATACATAAATATTTCTTGTACACATATTTTATCTTCTCTCAGAGTTTATCTGTATGAATTTTTATTCATTTACATCATATTTTGAGAGACTGAAGTTTGATTCCTTTAAGACTGAAGATGACATGAATGCAGTTGATTACACTGAAGTGGATTTCTCCCACTATCGTGCCACCAACAGCGCCCCCTGTGGTAATGCAATATATGTTTGTACTTCGTCCCCAGGTACATGCCAGCTCTGCCGACCACACCGCAGATGCTTCACCTCCTCATATGTCCAAAAACATCAGTAGTGATGCTGCTGATGAAAGCTTGGTGGCTAACAGATGAACAGAATCCATACAACAGTATATTTTTCTGTTTATGACCATCTGTCTGTCAAACAATTACACTGAAAGTAGTTTTTATTACAGCTACTTTTAGTTTAGTTTAACAGATGGCATGATGGAGCTAGCGTACCATATGCCTATGCAGTACGTTAGTATGCTTTCGATGGAGGCTCTGTAGAAAGACACCAGCAGTCTCTGTGTGATGTTGTTCTTCCTAAGCACTCTCAGAAAGTACAGTCTCTGTTGTGTCTTTTTCAGTAGCTCAGAGGTATTCACACTCCAGGATAGGTTT